TTTATATTCCTTGCAGACAGCTGGTCATTTGCAGCCTTTTAGAGGGTCGTTGAGGCCATTTGGAGGTTTATCTGTGTCCTCGGGGTCAGCCCTGCAGCCATATTTGCTTTTGGATCTTTGGCCTGCCACACTTTCTATTTTTTCTTTCTTTCTACTATGCCTTTTCTATGGTGGGAAAATGGGAGTTGGGGATTGTACGGAGTTAGATGCTATGTAGCCATAACAACATTCTTTCTAGAAAACCAAGGTCATCCTTTGTCTTTGCACCTCTGCACCTAACCGGAAATGGATGGGTGGAAGCTGCCAGCGTGGCAGTGGAAGATCGGACCATGGGATGGACTTGTGGGTGTGGGGGGGAAAGATCTTGAACTTTCAACTGGGTGGGGGAAACCAGGAAGCCTTCAGATTCGGGTTTTCCCAGATGTGCCAACATGGCTCTCACCATAAATTGGAACTTTGAGCAATGCTTTGCCTTGGACTCTGGTTGAGTTTTGGATGCTATTTGGAACCCTGACACTGAGGACCACCTGGGTAGTGCCACCTGAGTGGACTACAGGAACCAGGAGCATCACTCAGGTGACCCTGAGGACGTATTTATAAACATCGGCGTAGCTTTTTGGAGACCGTCCAAGGCTAGGATTCTTCTTCCCTGTGTCCTCGGTTTCCCGTGCTGATCCTTTCTTTCCCCTGTCTTCCCTTCCCTTCACAGCATGCGCCCCAACATCTTCCTGGGCACCCACGAAGGATCCACCCAGTACAAGAAGTGGTATTACGAGATGATTGTGGACTCGGTGGAGCCTTTTGTGACCGCCCAGGCCACGCATATGCGAGTCGGCTGGGCCATGGCGGAAGGCTACAGCCCCTACCCAGGGGGTGGAGAAGGCTGGGGCGGCAATGGCGTTGGGGATGACCTCTACTCTTTCGGCTTTGATGGTCTCCACCTGTGGTCAGGTGAGCTTTGTAGCAACCGCGGCTGATGGGGCAAATGGGTGGGCCCAGCATTTGAAAACCTCTAGGAGAGACGCAGAAAAAAAGGCACAACTTTAATCTGGGGTTTCAGTCCTTTGCAAGGAAGGAAAGGGAGGGGTAAAGAAAGAAAAGGAAGGAAGGAAGGAAAAGGAAAGAAAGAGAAAGAAAGAAAGAGAAAGAAAAAGAAAGAAAGAAAGAAAAGGAAGGAAAGAAAGAAACAAAAGGAAAGAAAGAGAAAGAAAGAAAGAAAAGGAAAGAAAGAAACAAAAGAAAAAAGAGAAAGAAAAGGAAAGAAAGAAAAAGAGAAAAAAAGAAAAAAGGAAAGAAAGAAAAAGAAAGAAAGAAAGAAAAAAAGAAAAGGAAGGAAAGAAAGAAAGAAAAGGAAAGAAAGAAAAAGAAAGAAACAAAAGGAAAGAAAGAAACAAAAGAAAAAAGAGAAAGAAAGAGAAAGAAAAGGAAAGAAAGAAAAAGAGAAAAAAAGAAAAAAGGAAAAAGAAAAAGAAAGAAAGAAAGAAAGAAAGAGAAAGAAAGAAAAGGAAAGAAAGAAAGAAAAAGAAAGAAAGAAAGAAAAAGAAAGAAAGAAAAAGAAAAAAAGAAAATGAATGAAAGAAAGAAAGAGAAAGAAAGAAAAAGAAAAAGAAAGAAAGAAAAGGAAGGAAAGAGAAAGGAAGGAAAAAGGAAAGAAAAAAGGAAAGAAAAAAGGAAAGAAAAAAGGAAAGAAAAAGAAAGACAGAAAGAAAGACAGAAAGAAAAGAAAAGGAAAGAAACAAAAAAGGAACGAAAGAAAGAAAGAAGAAAGAAAGTAAGAAGAAAGAAAGAAAGAGAAAGAAAGAAAGAAAGAGAAAGAAAGAAAGGAAGTCAATCAGTCAAACAATGGCCCAAGGCCACCTGAGATAGTCAATAAAGTCCAGATGGAGGACACATTTGTGGACATGTCCTCCTCAGATGCTCCTATTGTGGCCGTCTCTCCTTGTCCCAAAGGCCCTTTTTCAAGAGGCAAAATTGGACTTTCTTGTTTTTTCTTTTGAAGATGTTTCTCTCCTCATCCAAGAAGCTTCTTCAGCTCTGACTGGATGTGGGGAAGGGAAGAATTTATACTCCTTGCAGACAGCTGGTCCTTTGCATCCTTTGAGAGGGTCGTTGAGGCCACTCGGAGGTTTCTCTGTGTCCCCAGGCTCAGCTGAGCCGTGCAAATGGGTGTGGGGCCTTCCCCACCATCCCATCAGAGCCGAAGAAGCTTCTTAGGTGAGAAGCAAAACATCTTCAAGAAAACCCAGAAAAAAACAAACACCTTTGGGACAACCGTGAGCTGGACGACTCCCCCTGGACATCCGTCTCTCCTGCCAGAAAACTCAACCCTAACAAATAAACAATATCAACGATAAGAAAGCGGACGCAGAGGTCCAGTTTCTCTGACCGTTACAGCTGACCAAATCCTGCTCTGACCTCACTGAGCAGAAATCGCGTTCAAGATTCCTTAAGCCAGGGGTGTCAAACACAAAGCCCGCGGGCCAAATCTGGCTCACGGGATGCTAAGATCTGGCCCGCGGGGCCACCCTGGAAACATTGAAGGACAGGCCCACCGTACCTCTGCCAGAGCAAATGGAGTTCGGGAGGCCCGCGTGCGGCCCGCCTGGGCTCCGTTTATGGCTGTGACGGCTCCTGCAGCCCTCTGCCAGCAAAAACGGAGGAGGCTGCGCACACAGAGGGCTGCAGGAGGCCATTGCAGCCGAGAACGGAGTCCCGGGGGGGGGCTCCGCGCGGCCTCCTTGAGCTCTGTTTTTGCTGCAGGAGGCTGTCGCGGCCCAAAACGGAGCTTTGATGAGGGACGTCAAACTGGCCACGCCCACCCTGGCCACGCCCACCCTAGCCACACCGCTGCTCCCCCCCCCCGCCGCTCCCCGAGGCCAAACACAACCCTGATGTGGCCCTCAATGAAATTGAGTTTGACACCTCTGCCTTCAGCCCACCTCACTTTCTCATCTTCGGCTCTTCAAGGGGGTTCTTCCGGGAGTGATTTCCCTCTTTGTCTCCTTTCCGCTTGACCGCAGGCCGCGTGGCTCGGGCCGTGGCGTCTCCCGGGCAGCACTTGCTGGGGGCGGACGACGTGGTGAGCTGCTGCCTGGATTTGAGCGTTCCCAGCATCTCTTTCCGTATTAATGGCTTCCCGGTGCAAGGCATGTTTGAGAACTTCAACCTGGACGGGCTTTTCTTCCCCGTGATCAGCTTCTCGGCCGGCATCAAGTAAGTTTATCCGCCCCGGTAGGGTGAAAAATGAGACCTACGAGTCTCCCTCGACTCACGACCGATCTGTTTAGTGAGAGAGAGAGAAGTATCTGCCTCTACTTAGGATCGAACTTACAGCCTCCTGATTGGGAGGCGAGGGCTGCGCCTCTTCTAGCCCACCGCCATGAATGAACAAGCGCCTCTATGTTTTCCCTCCCTGCCAGAGTGCGCTTCCTCCTGGGGGGTCGCCACGGAGAGTTCAAATTCATGCCGCCCCCAGGCTACGCTCCCTGCTACGAGGGTGTCCTCCCCCGGGAGAAGCTGCGCGTGGAGCCCATCAAGGAGTACAAGCACGACATCAACGGCATCCGGAACCTCCTGGGGCCGACCCAGTCCTTGTCCCACACGTCCTTCACCCCCTACCCTGTGGATACCGTCCAGGTAGGGACATCCTGGCTTCCTTGGAGGCAGAGAAACCGAGGACAGAATGTGGAAAGAGGCAATTTTAGGGCCTGGAGAGAAAACAGTCATTAGTGTGACTGCTGGCAGGACCTATGGGCACTTCCCCAGTCTCCCACCCTCCTTCCTTCCTTCCTTCCTTCCTTCCTTCCTTCCTTCCTTCCTTCCTTCCTTCCTTCCTTNGTTTATTGCTCAATGTTATATGGCCTCAATCATGCACAGTATATATGTGATTGTATGAAATGAAAATGAAAAATGAAATAAAACATTTAATATAAGTAAGAATGTTTTGTTCATCTCATGGTAGCATCCATCTCTGGGCCTGTGTTTTCAGGCAGCCATAACTGCCCTATACACAGAACTGGTAATGGATCCCAACACCTTCCAACTCTGTTATTCTGATCAGCGTATCCTTTGCATCTCCAGAATTCACCAGGAATAGGGGAGCCAAAAATCCTGTTCCTTTTTTTTTCTTTTTTTGTATTTGTCCAGCATCCACCATTGTTGAGAGTCACATTATTATAACCTTTCGTTATTTAGGAAGCAGGACCTAAAGAGCACAATTTGTCTTGAGACTTGTAAAACTCCTCTTTATACTATTAAATTCTTGTATTGTGCCCCACTCCAAAACGGATCTTTCTTCAGTTCATTTCTGAAGCACATAATGCCCAGATCCTGGAGTTGCCCTCGAACCAAAGGAAGTTATGTCTTTTTTGCCAGAAAAGGTGCCTGCTGACTCACACCAAAGGTTCCATAAGGACCACAATCCTTCTGGATGTACATATTTTGATTACTATAATTGATTAAGTGCATATGCCACCCACCTCCCAATGCTTCTGGGCGGTCACAGATAAAAAAAAACATTCGAAACAAGGGGAGAAAAATGCCACGATAAAAATGGAAAATATTTTCTGCTTCTGTGGATTCTTTTGACATCTTTCCCCATCTTTCTCTCTCCCACCAGCTGCCTGTTTACAACGCCTTGGTGAAAGAGGGGAGGGAAATCCGTTTTCGCCTTAAAGCCTTGCGTCAGGAGGAAGTTGAGTTGCAAGAAAAATACTACCCGCCTGCCCTAAAGCTGCCCAACAGGATTCATCCTGATGTGGTAAGGAGCATGAAATAGGGAAGTACGTTTTGGTACGTCTAGGGCTCTGAAGCTTATGTCCAGTTAAATCAATCTATTGCTAAGAAGCCAATCCAGGTAATCACTAAAACCATTTGTTTTGTGACTTCAGTTAACGGTGGCACTGAAAAAAAGGGACTTACGACCACTTTTCACACTTTCACACCATTGCAGCATCTCTGTGGTCACATGATGGGATAGCAATTTATTTATTTATTTATTTATT